TGCTGTGGCATCTCCTCCAGGCAAGCCTACAGCAACAACGAGCAGAGACAGCATGCACATATATATTTATATGCTTGCAAACATTTACATTTCACTGTCTACAAAGAGCCGGAGAAACCAGTTTCTGCTAAGATCAGCAACATTGTTTCCCAGTACATCTTAAAGTTGGAAATGATTACTTTGAGCAGTTCGTGTTTCTCCCTCGCTTCATCAGCAGCACGGCCGTGGTCTTGAGGGTTGCCATCTTCCTCAGCCAAAGCCTCCTCTGTTCTCAAAAGCCAGCGGGCGACTGTGTCCAAGGGGGCTGGAAGACTCATATCTAAAGCGACTTTGTACTCACGGAGCTAGATGAACACACAGAGAAAAGGAAGTCACAAGTAAAGTAAATGTCTTCAAATTGCAGTGAGCAAATACACAAATATGTACAAATATACAAGCATTTACAGACAAATATAACACATCAGCCGTAATGTAACAGATTAGGGTGTTTAAGAGTCTGTGTTGCTATGGCGCTGTAGTGTTATATTAGTACAGTACAGTATTATGACTATAGACCATATTTATACATTTATAAGGTTCTCTAGTCTGATTAAAAAATAACTAAAACAAACCTTTTCTGTGAGAGCATCCCACGCCTCTCTGAGAGTCCGTTGCTCATCGCTCAGTTTTGGGGTTCGTCTCATGGCCGTCAACAAAGGCATGATGGGCCGTCGTTGCTCATTAAAGGACACCAGAAAGGTCTGAAATACCTGAGGGAAGGAAAATACTTTTTTAGTGACAAATTTATAACGTGAAGTCCGTTTATAACGTTAAAGGCTGTGCCAAAATTTAGACGTTTCATAATTTTATTACAATATGATGATGTCAGCCTATTACGGTGCTACTGTGACAGTGTAGGGCATTGTAATGAAAAAATAAAAAGTGTGTTGTATAACTCTTTCCATCTGATATATTAGATCAATATGGTTTCTTGAAAGTGAAGTTGAATCTCAACTATGCTCTTGGGCGCTAACAATGAAGGTTAAAGTCAAATGCTTAGGAATGATCAGGACCCTGTTATTGCTGTTTTTGGCATCTACAATCACACAAAATTTGAAAATGATTCTTGAAAAATGTGAACACTAGCTTGTGTTCACAGTTTGTTTCGTTTGTTTATCTGGTAACAAACAGATAAACAAATGAAACCGATAGCATACTCCTTCCCTTCATGGGAGAACTAAAGAGAGAGAAAAAAATTAACTGTTTAACACTGTTGTGCAAAACAGGATCAGGTTGTTGGGAGGAAGAATTAAATGTTTTATTAACCAAATTCAGTTTTAAATAAGATGTGTGTTATACAGACAGTGCTTATTGTACCTGCAATTACATCACAGGCCTGTTAAAATAATACCGGGGCCTCTGAATGTGCCAGACATTTACCTAATTTGTGCACTGATACTTAAAAATGCAACACATCCTGATGAGCTCTTGCTAGAAACATACATTATATCTTTCTGGGTAGCTTTCTCCTTCTGTGGAGTCCCATCCCTCCAGCAGCTCATCATAGGCCTGAACCAGCCAGCATGTCATTTCCTGTGCCTTACGGTCAGGTGTCACCTGGAAAGACACAATAAAAATTGAGTGGGTGAAGATGATCAAAGGATTCCAGAATTAAGTTTTACGTGGTGTAAGCACGCATAATGTGAGTGTAATGTAAAGTAAAAAAGCAACACCAATCACCAGACACGTTACAGAAAGCTGAATGATAGCGCTAACTAAGTTGATTTTAAGCAGCGCACATACATAAGTTTGTTTTGGCTCCTTGGTTGTTCTTTGAAAATTGATAAGAATATAACAACATGTTACTTTGAAGGAGGCCGCCACCTTTACTGTTCACCTCTTCTCCTGTAAAAGCAGATCACCATTCTGTCATGCAGATCCTGTGGTATGTACTGTCTAGGGAACATAGCGTAGTACTGCTAAATTTGATTTGTTTCACTTATATACTCATATTCCTACAATCTCCCACTCCCACAGCAGAATAAAAAAGCAAAACACAAAAGTTACAAATAGAAAATATCTTAAGATGTCAAATGTTTACAGCAGCTACACTTTAACGTGGTGATATCCTGTCAGAAACCAAAGCTGACAGGTATTTTATCTGATCTATCGTGAGGCGATTCCAGTCCTGCTGCACCACCCCATGAGCGCTTTATTCTTCTCATGGGAGGCAAGAGAAAAACACCCTTGCTGTGGCTTTGGATCCTTTCCCAGAGAACAGGGCAAACCCGTTCAGCGTTGCATGATCAGTCCTGCCTTTAACCACCATGTGATTCGAAGGCAACTTTGGCTCGGAGCAGCTTAGTTTTAAACAGCAGTGCGTTAATCATCCTTCGAATAAACACCTCCCCAACGTGTCGTTACTAGATATAAACATCAGCAATAAAATCCATCATTGCTTGCGGGTACTGCAAAGGGATTGTGCAGCTAATTGACATTGTGCTGTGATGATTGGTTGTGATGATTGGGTGTACCTGGCGGAGAGGTGAAGCAGAAATAGCAGGGGTGTAGTGGATAGGTAGGTTGATAGGAGAAGGACTTTTAGAAGGAGTCAAATATTGTGTCTAAGGAGGAAAAGGGGGAAGGGGAAAGGAGAGGAAATACGAGGAGAGAAGGGAAAAGACAAGAGAGAAGTGGTCTTCTCATACACATTAAATACATTTAGCATACAGCTGATCTCAACTGAATGCACACACAATATTTGATTTCAGTGTAAGAAGAACAGAAAGTCTTATTTATTCTTAACAGTTATAACTGCATTAACCATGTGTGTTCTGGCTGATTTACAACAAAGCATGGAATAAAACATGAACAGATACATAAGAGTTACATTCTGTAGCAGCGTTTGCAGGGCATAAGGTGGCAGAGTGGTATCATAGATGAGCACATGATAGTGTGCCATTCAGAACAATGCATTAATTGTTTGAATGGAAAACACACAAGCTGAAGGGGAACGAGCCACTGATGAGCAGATTACTGTTTGAACATGTCTGTAATTATGTCCACAAATAAGGAAAAACTTTAACTGCACCGATTATTTTGAACAGCTGCCGAAGAAAAAGAGCACACAAGCCTGATTTAGACTTAGAGCTAGGTTTGGATATCTGGGATTAAAAATACCCAGTTTTGTTGAAATAAACACTACATGTAAACTTTTACTTATTTGCATTCTATACTTAAAGATAGGTGTAGTTTGGGCTTTCTTTGCGCTGAACTAATGCAGTTATAATGCAATTCAAATATATATTTCAAATATATATATAGAGTGTATTCTGCACCACTGGTTTAGATTGAGATCAGCATTACCGCATGTTGACTTGGCACACAAAAGTAGGACTAGATTAGTAAAGGAAAAGTCTAAACTCTACCTGAACTGATTCTTAGACTTAAGGACTACACTAACAACTTTTCTGCAAATGTTTCTGCAGCGTAACCTGATGCCCTGTGTCGAATATAATAAACTCATACAGACCTGCATTTCTTCTTCTGGCACTGGCAGGTCCTTGGAGTACTGAAGGAACTGAGCCACATAAGTCATGATGGACTTCTCATCGGGGTCCCGAACGTCCACATCTGCATCAACATCAGAGTCCTCCATGATCAGCTCCACATTGCAACACTACTTGTTTAGACTAACATCTGAGTGTGTTCTTGAAGCAGGTGGAGTTTAATACTGGAAGCTGAGGAATGGAGGTGTAACTCTTCTGTCTTAGAAACATGAAAGTCTGCTATTAAAGTAACAGGCAGAGCAGATGAAACAAACGAGGGTTTTATGTAAGGCTGAAGCAAACAAGCAGCAAGTGAGTCAGCAGACCGTCAGATCATCTTGCCTTTAGGCAAGCTGGGTATGGCTACACTCTGCATGCAGTTGCAAACGTGTAAACAGCAACACATTCTTTGCTGCTAGATATCTATGTGAGAAAAATATTTAATAAATCTGATCATGAAAAGAGTGTTTGTAAAAGGAGCAGAGAAATAAGCGACTGAGTGACCCAAAGGGAAAAAGCATAGCTTTCCTATAAAACTGATTAAGAAATCCTAAGAAAATGTGCAACACACTGCCAAAGTGTGTGTATCACTACTGATGATAAAACCATCATTGAGCAATCAATACTGGATATTTTCCCATACTTGGAGTTCTGGGTTGTTGTTTTTAACAAACTTATAACAATACATTTTTTTTATAATTATTGTGATTTTATTTTTTTAACCAAAAAAGTTTAATTGCATTAAACTTTTTTGGTTTAGCAACTTATTACAACTGTCGGGTGTAATGCGTCCCAATGCAATGGCTTAATGTAATCCCATTACATTTTTCAGTAATGTTGTAACAGTGTTATAACTGTGCTGAATTCAGTAATTACATTATAGCTATGATTGTGTCACCGCCTGTGTTAAAAGGTTCATCAGTTACAAACTGATTTGCCAGAACAAAACTATCATACGTAGCCAGCATTTTATTTATATAGTGCCAAATCACAACAACAGTCATTTCAAGGCATTTTATATTGTAAGGTAAAGACCTTACAATAATACCTTCATTGTCAAAAACCCAGAATAATGTTAAAGCTGAGCACATGCTGACCCCAGGCAACAGGCCAGACCCCGAATTTCAACAGCTGACAAAGACCGTGATCAGCAGTCAGGCTTCTGTTTCTACAGCAGAATCAGTACGGTTCCCTGAATGTCTCCCTCGGACTGGGATTCATCTTTACTTTGTGTTGTCAGTTTTCTGTTTATATTTAAAGACTAAAAGAAAGAACGTTTGTGTGTCTTCATTAGGATTTGTGTTGGTAGCCTAGGTTTATATGCTGTTTGCTGGTAATTATGTGCAGATTTCAGGTCAATTTACTGACTAAGGCAAAAGTAAAGTAACAAAATAGTTAAAAGTAGCGTAACGAATTACTTTCTCTGGGGAGTAACGTATTTTTATTACTTTTAAGAAAAGTAACGAGTGATAGAAAGTGCTTAAAGACACACAACAAAGAATTGGATGCATAGGAGAATGTGCTTGTATAAGTGTGTTTTATAAGTAGCACTCTTGTTGCCATCTCGTATCTGTTGTCATAAAGTGCATTTTGTACTAATCGAGTTCTGCCCCTCACCATCAGCCTCCAGCAGTCGGGGGATCCTGAGCTCTTTCTCTGCGATACGGAAGGCTTCCTCCAGGTTCTGTCTGTTGCTTCTCGTTCTGGCCTTGGACAGGTCCACCAGGTCAGGCCGCAGAGCATACAGGATAGCCAGGAAAACCACTCCACTCCTCCAGCTAGCCTTGAAGTCTTTTACGTTTACTGAGCAGCCAGCTCTGAAGGAAAGAAATTATTTTATTACTATTGTAATAAATGCACTTCATAATACTTCCATGTCATAAAGTACAGACTGGCACGAGTTCAAGTTCAGCAAAGTAACAAAAGATCAAATCTTTGTCAAACAAGAAACAGTAAGATTAAAAGATAAACTGTGACCAAAGATCAGAAAATACATTTTTATACAAGAAATGTGTTAAAAAATACATATTTACGACCTATTTACAATAAAAATGTGTGAAAATGTATTTACATTGATATTATTCATCATCTCCAGCCCTATGTGACTCCTCCTGTCTTAGTCTTCGCGTATGGAACCCACAGTACTGGGTCAAGGAAGACTTTAATGTATAAAATATACATATACAGTAAATGTGTTCAGTTTTTTCATGCAGTCTTTATGCTGTTACATAGCCATCGCTCTTTCAAGGCAAAAGCACCAGGATTCTGTAATATTTTGAGCATTTATAAATAAATATAGAGACTGGATATGTAACAAAGAATCAATGTCCCACTCTTCACATAGTAAAGTCCTGATCTGGATTTGGTCTTCAGCCCAGACCTGGAAATGAGTAATAATTCCCAAATGAGAATACATCACTCACACATCATACACTTGGCTCACAGATGACAGGGGGCTATGATCTACCAATATATGTGACTCTATTGTGTTAGTAGACCTTTCTGCACTGAATCATACTTCTTATTAATCTCTGGCTCAATTCCACGGCATGTCTTTGTCCTGTCTTCAAAGGAGCTTGCAAAGAAAAGCGTCTGGACTTCTTTAAGTTGCTTGAAGACGTTTCACCTCTCATCCAAGAAGCTTCTTCAGTTCTAAGGTCAAATGGTGG